AGATGGTCTTATGAGACAGTTATTTAGGTATAGACAGTGAAAAAGAGAAAAATATCTCTTCTTAACAATTCCAGATACAAATTGATATGTTTGTGAAGACATACTTTATTAGTCATTCATCATTTTTGTCCCCATTTTGTCACTTTGGCAGTTCTCTATCTACTTTAATCAGGAGTCCTCACAACGTTTTTGTTAAAAATACCAACTTTTCCTGAAGTCAGTGCATTTTCTATATATTAATAAAAAACTTCTTTATTAACCACTATTTTATGCTGTAGATGCCACCCACACCTTCTCAGCACACACAGAGACACTTGATCCTAGAAGTAGCAAAAGGGATTTCTGGGCAAGTTGCACATATAATTGTAATTAAAATAAACTTATACTTTATTTAAAAAAATACCTGCCTATCCCACTAACATGTTTTATCATTGCTACCAAGCCTGATAGACTGGATTACTTTACAAAAACTAGTACTGTTAAATGTAAGCGTATGGAAACCATAATTAGAATTAAACCGGAGATAATTTCTGCATGCAATAGCATTCTGGGGGCAGTAAACATTGAATTAGGAAAAAATTAACTCTTGTTTTATTTAACTTGTTGGAGTTCTTCAAGGAAGCAAGAGCAGCACTGATATTAGCATATTGAGATATTCAGAAGACATGTAGTAAAGTCCTTCATATAATCTTTTAATAAAAAAAAATAACTTAAATAAATGAAGGTAGGAATTCAAGGGAAATTAGTAATTCACAGAGAGGAAAAAGTGCAGATAAGGGGTGTATGCTCACTTTGGAGTGATGTAAATTGTAGTGTATCACAGGAATCTGTATTAGAATCACAGTACATCCTAATTCAAATCATCTACAGTAGATCAAGAGTTTTCAGCCCTGGTCCTGGAGAGCTCCAGTCCATTTATACTGTACTTAACCTGTATTTTGGGACCCAAGTCAGGTTTAGGATGGGTGGTTTTGTAGTCCTATCTGAAATTTTGTTTCTCAGAAACTCTCTGGGGCCTGGATGGCGCAGTGCACCACGTGGTAGTTGTGTCCGGAAACTAAGTCAGTGAGATCAAAAGTTGTCACCAAGCATTATTGAATCTCATTTGATTGCAAGAGCTTTAATCAGTGGTCTTGATTGATTCACACTCATACCTTTTGGTTTGGGGAACATGTCCAAATCCGATGCCCAGAGAGGCTAAGAAATATTGTAGATCACCCGCTTGATCAGAGCCCTATAGAACAAGGATTGATTATTCCAAGTATAGAGTTAAGAATAAGAATAAGAATAATACAATTTATTTTATATAATGCTTTTAATAGTAACTTTCCAAAGTGCTTTACCAACAAGTTAAAAAACAATTAAAACATCAATAAAAATAGGGGGATACAATTAGCACAAAAAAGGCATTATATTGTAACAGAATATGTAAAAGATCTCTAGGGTAAGAGTGTTGACGGAAGGACGGGAGACCAGTTAGATGAACAAAGACTACTAGGTATTGAGTGGGAAGATAGTAATTAAGACAGTTATTTACTGTAGTCACCAAGCTCTATAGAGCCTTATAGGTGAGCATGGGGATTTTTAAGTCACCAAGAAACCTGATAGGAAGTCAGTACAAGGACTCCAGGACAGGAGTACTGTGATCACCTTCATGTGACCTGGGCAGGATTCTGGCAGCTGGAGTGGAGAGTAGATTTAGATGCCTTAGCAAGAAGGCATTTGCAGTTCTAGTTCAGTATCAAGTCTAGTGAAGACAGTGTTGACCAGCTTTTCAGAGACAGTCAGAAACAACGTAGAAAAGGCGATATTAATGACATGGAAGAATGATGTTTTTACAATGTTTTGCACATACTTTATGGGTCAAATATTTAGCCGGTATCACATATCACCCCCAAAATCTTCCATTTAGATTGATTTTCAAGTGCAGTGCCATCAAGCCAGGTAGGGTTACTGAATTAGCTTTACATAGCTGATGGGAGGTGCCGAGACCTCAGTCTAGTATAGTTAATAAACTCATCAAGTTCATAGCAGTTCATGTAAGTAGCTGCGTCAGCATGCATAGGCTGCAAAGGAACAGGTAACAGGTTTATTCAATGCTGAAAAGAAAAGAGAGAAAACACAACATTTCAGCTGTGGAGCCTTCTTCAGGTGTGAGAAAGACAAGTAGACAGCAAAGATTAAATAGCACAGGAGAACAAAAGCTGGAAAAGTGGAGGAGGAGGGAGAGGGAAGAAGCAGAGAGGCCACCCAGGAAGTGCAAAGTGGAGAGGGGTGGAGAAAGGTTTGAAACTCCTCTTTCTCAACTCCCACAGCAGAAAGACAATAGAAATGAAACCCATCCTGAAACTAGGTTCACACCATCCCCCTTCTCTCAATGACAGATTTATTTTCGTGTTATCTTCTCTATTCTCATGCAGGTTTGGACTTCACACCTTTCTCACATATTTATTCACTCCTCTCCACTTTGCAGTATAAAATAGTTATACACAAAGGCAATGTGGGAAAGAAAAAAGGTCATTAAGGAAACCGAATTCAAGGAATGACATGGTAAAATTGTGCAACACATAATTATAACCACATTTGAATGCAGTGAATGCCCTTGGTCACCATGTTAATAAAAAGAAATGTCTGCTCTTGGATCAGTCCAGAGAAGAGCAACCAGGCTAGGCTCTGAGCTTGTGTGTTCCAGTCCCAGAGGGGACACTGTTGTTATATCCTTGAGCAATGTACTTCTCTCTGATTGATTAGCGAACAGTTGTGTAAATAGAGGCAAAGATAAGTCACACTGGATAAGAATATCAAGATAAATATGGGCTCACAGCAGTGGGGGCCTGGGTTGCTGTGTGCCTGGAGTTTGTATGTTCTTATTTTCCTGAGAGTTTCCTCCCAAAGTCTAAAGTGATTAATTAGCGTCTTAGAAATGTGGGCCTAGTGTGAGTGTGTGTTTCTGTCTATGCGTGCTGCTTGCTGGTTAAGGCTCCGGCTCCCTCCATATGTACTGGATAAAGCACTTTAGAAGATGGAAGGAACACATTTATTCCTAGACCTACAAGAATCCAGATACTGAGATGCTGAAAGAACTAAACCTTCTCAGTCTTATTCAGAAAACAATGAGATGCCATTCAAGCAGTGACAAACTCAAATCTGGACTGACAAAGCCAACCCAACTTACTTCTTCTGAACCACAAATTTTGCAGACAGAAGTCAAAACTGCTGGGCAGTGAAATTAAAACTGAGAACAAGAGGCACTTCTTTAGAAAGAGGTTATGAGAATTTGGAAGACGATCTTCTGTCAAGAAATGGACGGAAGAGATTCTCAGATCAATGATATTCTAGTAGGCAAACAAGTTACATTATATGATTATATGGGCCAAATGGCCTCCTCTCATTATCCCACTAAAACCAAATTAAACCAAAGTAATAGTGCTGAACTATCTATCATATTACAAATGCAGTATGTATGAAGTATGAAGAAGAGTATGAAGAAGGCTCCACAGCCAAATGTTCTCTTTTCTTTGCTATTTCCTTTGCAGCCTATGCATGCTGACACAGCTACTGTACCTACTTGAACTTATTATATCTAAAATATACTTTTTACTGACATGAGCATACAGTGTGCCAGTAAAATAAATCTTTCATATTTTCTTTCAATAATATACCCAATAATACTTATACTTTGCTCTGATCAATAATGATATGCAAAGTTTTAATTTATTTTTATTAAGTCAGTTTTGCCTTTATACCATATTTCTTGTGGATCTTCAATTTTTGGCTGTGATACAGGAATATATCATATATTGTATACTGTAAAAAAAAACTGATTTCTTGGCAGCTTGCTCTCAGTTTTTCAGCAGTTTGGATTTACTTACTCTTATTTTCAAAGTCTCATCACTTGAAAACCTTCAAATTCTTACTGACATCACTGATGACTATGGTTTTCTTATGTCTCTATTTTATTTATCTCAGCCAACATGTGGCCCTTTTTTCCCATTGGGGGTGTCATGGGATACTTTGACCACTAAAAGACTGGTCTATTAACGAAATGACTTCAGTTTGCTGAAGTGACATTTCTTTCCATTATATACAGTGCAAGTGGAACAGAGAATCAGATGATGCTGGAAGCCCTGGCTGGCTGTTTCATTAAAAACCTGGCACATCAGCTAATCCGACTTCAGTTCACACATAGAATGTACACAGAGCATGTCTGCAGCTCCAGACCCCATCTTCCTGGGTTGAATTTGGGTTGTTTCTGTCACGGATGTCTGAAGGGAAAGCTGTGGAATGACAAGGAGAGCAGTAAAGACCCTATGCGTAGCTGCAAAAGGGGCAACACAGGGGTTAGCTCAGGCTCAGGGGGTCAGACAATGTCGGTATAGAAACCTATGCCCTCAAGCCACAGACGTGGGGTGACCTAGTGCTAGACAGGTCTCACGACATCTGTACCCTCAATGCTGAGCAGAGAGTAAATAGGCTTCACAACAAGACACACCGGAAAGACGAGAATAATCACAGGGAACTAGGAACAGGACAGAAGTAGAGCGCCCTCTAGGTGTACAGGGCGTGACAGTATCCAGTACTTAGGACATGGTAAGCTCTTCATTGAATTCTGTGTTTGGAAATTTGCTATTAATGTGCAGGCAAGGTCCTGCAGGTGGATTTAACTGCAGCTAAAAAGGATAGATGGAGAATAAAATACCCTATGATCACATTTGGTTGTATTTGATTACAGATGTTTTTGTTGTGTGTATTCTCCCCCTCCAACTCTTTAAATGTGTTTCTTTATGTGTTTGTATTTTGAAAATTAACCAGGAAAATATATGTTGTACAGGATGTGGCATTGGTGGTCAGGAGAAATGTTTTGAGTTACCTTGCAATAAGTTTAAAAAAAGAGTTTTAAAATACTGGAAGCATTTGATTTGAATTCTGTGATACGCTGGAATAATTTCAGTGTTTTTATTTTCCATTAACTTTTTGTCCTGTATTTTCTGCCCCCACAGTACGCAGCCTGGCTGGTTCTCTGGGTCACGTGGAACGTGTTTGTTATCTGCTTCTACTTGGAGGTTGGAGACCTTTCAAAGGTAATTTGCCACCTAATGCTTCAAAGCTGTTAACTCGCTTTAATAACAGTCTGTTTGGCAAGGATTTTTTTTAAAGAACTTGCTCTCTTGTTATTTACACTGTTACTTCTATCCTGTAATATAAGTACAATATCTACACAAGAGGAATCCCATATCTTATCTTGGTAAATACATACTGACACGAAAAAAGAAGAACAGAGTTCATAATCTATTTTTCACCTCAAAATACTTGCTTTGTTTTGAGCATGAACTTTTTCAGTGGTTTAATGAGGAGGCCAATTATTTTTGTTTCAGTGTTGAGCTGAAGAGAATGTCTGTGTGCAGTGACAGAAGTGTCTGCTGCATACAATTGTGTGTGCTGTAACTGTTTTTTAAGGTTGTTGTATATCTAACAGGAAAGGCCTCTGATCTTAGGAAACGTAAAGCTATCAAACATATTGAGAGTGAATTTAGAACTAAAGATTCAAAATTCCTGCTTTAAGAATTTGGAAGATACCTAGTTTACGCAATAATCTTTATGCGAAAATTAACATGCCATACACACAAATACTTTCTGTATACATACAAATACTTATTTTAAGGAAAATTGCCTTCTAAATATTTTCAGCCCCTACCTATCACTTATATTATATGAGCAAATTGTCATTAAGAATGGAGCAACTGCAGTGCAAGTTCAGACAGTGAATGATAAAGAACAGCACTTACAGTAAATGCTCTAGGTCAGTTTGACCATGGTCCTGAAATGACACATTTTTACAGGATTTATAGTCAGTTTATGGTCAATGACAATTAAATGTTGTGTCCCAAAGACATGTATTTTTTATGGTCAATGAGCAGGTTTCTGGAATGCATATAAAGACATTCTAATTAAACAACTGATATATCAAGTAAAGTCATTTAGAGCTCAGATAGGATGTAACAGAAAATACTATGCTTCTCCAGGTCCATGGTTACAGATATTTGTTTGGGGGAACTCAAATAGTGACCAGTCTCTAATTACCCGAATTTGGTCTGACTGGTAGGAGCAAATTTATCATTTACAGTATAGTCATGTTTACACTAAAGTGAGCTGTATGCCAGCCAAAGCAAGGCCACCTGTGAATGCTCTTTAACTTCATCTGGTCATCTGGTTGTGTTTACAGTGGCCCAACCTAGTGCAGAGCTCACCACATATCAGCGTAACGGAGGCATATGATATTACAGTATTAAAACGTAAGTTAGTAATGTTCTTAATATTTTACTGCAGGGAAGATTATCATCATTTCAAGATAATCTGTGCAACTGCTGTGGCCTGAATTAAAATAATTTATAGTTAACAATGTACCCAAGATGGAGTCTCATTTTGTGGATTATACACAGTAATAATAAAATACTTCAGAATCAGAAAGATAATGTACTGTAAAGCTTTAATTAAGAATTTCCATTTGGTTGAATTATATTTTAGAAAAGGGATGAGAAAAGGTTAGACTAAAGGAAGTAACCCTGTTGAGTGCTCATACTGTATGACTTGCTGTATATACTGTAGAATGATACTCAATCGCTCACTTGACAATATTAAAAATATATTTGTTTAGCCAGCTTATGTTGACTATGTCGATAGACTTTGAGCCTGTGACTAAAATCTAAGAATGCTCTTAGTCTGTTCAGGTTTCCCAACTTTCTTCAATTGCACGATAGATTTTTCTGAGCATATATACTGTACAGTGGATATAAAAAAGTCTACACACCCTTATTAAAATTGCAGGTTTTTGTGACGCAAGGCTAGAAACCAAGATAAATCATGTCAGACATTTTTCTATCTTTAATGTGACCTTGTAACCAACAAAATTCAAGAGAAAAACAAATAGATAATTATTCAGAAAAATAATTGAAATTAAAAAACCTACAACACCCTGGTTGCCGAAGTAGAGAGTTGTGGATTGTCCTTTAAATTCGTCATTTCATCTGGACACAATGGAGAACATAGCTGTGTATAAGCTTTTTGAAACCCAGGAACATGTTGAGGTCTAGGATTTCACTGTCGTCTGAGCATTAGGCAGAATTTTGAAAAAAAAAAACCCTTCCACAGATTTGAGAGGTTGAATAACATACATGAAAACACCAAACAAAGATCCTTGTTGCACTAAACAGAAGACTTAGATGTTTTGCAATCATGTGTACTTTTAAAGAATTAAAAGCTAGGTAGGTTGAACTGTTTCAGTACACGTATTATAAAGAGAAACAGCTTGGTGAAAATTCGCTGTGAAGGTAGATGTTATTGAACACTCAGGTAAAGGGGACCCACCATCTCTAGGTGAGATGAAACCAGAAGGAAAGGGATGATGTGGCTGTATTATGGATTATTGTTGCAGGTGTGAGTATTGAATCTCAGTGCCTTGGGTTTCGTAGGTCTTTCCCCAGTGGCAGGAGAGGGAGGTGCAGCACCACAGTCATGGGAGTGGGGGCAGGGCCACTGCTGTCAGGACCATCTGAATTGGGTCTGGCAGTTGGATCTAAAACAGAACATCCTGCAAGCTTTGCGTTTTTGTTTCTTCATCATATTTATCAGCATCAAGGAAAGCATCATCTTCCTTGCCATTTCCTTCTCATCTTCAGTTTTACGTGGATGCTAAATGCTGAATCGTCTTCGAACGTTAGGAAGTGTGAACTTCCACCTGCTAAGTTTCCCCAGTCAACAGCATTAATAATTTATCTCTTTTATTAAAAATTTAAAAATAAAGAATCTTTCTGTCGCTGTTCCAATGTAATGCTGTTTGAAAATCATTATATAAATCATGTACAGCAAAAACATGTTCATACTAACAGAATGCAAGTGACTGTCATTTCCACTCAGAGTAATGACTATCTTGTCAATTTACCTCCTCTTACATATTGATCCCTTACCCAGTAAGAGTTCTCAGTGCTGACTTTGCAGTGACAGCAGCTCGCCCACGTCTCTGCTGGAAGTCAGGAGTTTTTCTTCCCATTTCTTTCCATCCTCAAGATAAAACCTTATTTATTTTACAACGCTATTAGACTGTTATTAAATTAGTCCACACTAACAGATTTTCAACATGGATAAATAAATTCGTTCAGTTCATTTTATTTTATAGCTCAACAATGGAGGATTCTGCTGGAATGCTACAAGTTTCAAAGGTTCAGCATTCAGTAATGCAATAGAACTAAGCCTCTGTGTCGGTAATACAGACTATTTGTCAGTGTTTCTGTTGTTGATGAACACTTTTTACTGACCCTCACTTTTCCACTCCCCTGGGTTTCTATATCTAACGTTTCTAAGGTTTGTCTGGCTGAGAATATGACAGATAGCAATTGTTGCCAGACACTGTGTCCATGCTGTGGATTTATACTTGTTACTGGTGGGTATTTGCAATTGTTCAATTTTTCGGGTTAACAATTTAAAGACATTTACTTTCATTAAGCTCAAATTTATCTTGTGTCAGTTTGAACTGAAATCAAAAAGTACTTTGATACTAGTGTTGTATCAAAGGGAATTTGAGAATATGAAATATTTATTATTTTATGATTCTACACTCATAACTTTTAGATATGTTTTCGATTTGGTAGACTTTTTTGTTACTCTTTCACTATTACGTGATATTTACTATTACTATTACTCTTTTAGGTCCAGTAAATACTGAACAATTTGCAATAATGATAAAGTAAATGTGGGTGCAAAAGTATAGTGCATGGTTCTGTGCATGTTCCTGGACACATGTTGGGGAAATGTGAAAACTACTGCACATGAAGCATTTAAAAGCAATTATTTGACAACAGCACGTTCAGGTGTTTGGCGAAATTCTAATAGTAATGCAATGAGATGATGAGCGTGAATGGGTAGCATACTTTATAATTGGCATTAATTTGCCTAGCTGGGGAAAGGTCAGGGCTATCACACCCCCCCTCACTTCTCAGGAATGAGCCAGGGAGAAAACAGTGAAGTTGGGGTGGAGGGAGGGGAGCTAGAATAAAGGCACACAGTTTGGGGCAGCCAGCATATTGTATATTGTATGTTCAGAATCTGAATGACAGACTGTAAATTATGACATTTGACTGATTCTTAAAATACCTCAAGTGCTCTTGCAATTTGCTGTTACAATTTCTGCTGTTAGAGTAAAGTCAGACACTCACTCAGGAGAACATACTGTACAAATTCCAAACTGACAACACCCCAGGTCCAGAACTGAACCCAGGGCACCAGCACTGCGAGACAGTAATGCCACCCCGTGCACCACCATGCCACCCATGGGCTCACCAGTTAGAACCAGTAGTATACCACTGGCATGAAGCCAAGAGTGCTCTGAAACAAATACAATGTACATAGGTACCAGTCACATAGATAATTGTTTTAGTCAAAAAATAAATAGAGGTGATCCAGTCATCTACTACATGAGAAGGCATGAGAAGGTGGAGAGATCTTGTTGAGAACTGCTCTTGACTAAATTATTTTATTTCCATAAACAAATTACCATAATTACTAAATTAATTTTGAAGATGGAGAAGTCAGGTAGAGATACTGAAAATAAATTAAAGAATAACATCATTGATCAATAGATCAATAAATGTAAGTTTTAGATAATTGAATATCATTGGGGTCAGTCCTACTATGATTTCTAAATACTTCATCAATTTTAATTACCATCACTACCATCACTAGTTTAAATGAAAGACCAAATAATACAGTTGACACTGGACATCCCTGTCAACAGCCATTCCTATGTGTAAATTGAGAGAATATTAAAGCATCAGTATGAACACATGGTGGGGATATTG